GGGGAGCCCCGGGAGGCTGACGGCCCCAGTCCCCGCTGCAGGCCCCTTCCCCCTCACCCCGTTAATCCAGCTCAGCTGAGGATGCCGAGGTCAGGCTCTGGCACAGAGAACCAGCGTCTTAAAGGGGAAGGTGTGCTTACACCCGCCCTGCTGAAAGCCTGTCCTGCTGGGGACCCTGCTTTTGGGTGCATTGGTTTGCCTGCTGCTTCCAGGCTCCCCACCGGCACAGGGCAGCACTGAAGGGACTGTGTCAGGGAGCCCAAGCTGAATGTGTCCCTCCTCTTCTCACACCTCCCCAGCCCTGGGCTCCTGAGCACCACCACCTGCATTCCCACTGCCCCTTAGTGCCTCCGTGCTTGTCTCCATCCCTAAGCAGGGGAGAAAGGGGCCATTGTTCAGGGGCTTTGGTGGAAGAGCACAAGCGCTGTGGGGCTCCACAGAGCTGGAGGAGGAGGAAGGGCTCCCTCTGCCTTTGGGCACTGCAGGTGGCCACCTGCACCCACATCTCCCTTCCTCCAGGCAAGCCCCAGGACATGGGTGCTCCTGGGCAAGCTGCTCCAGCACCAGTGGTGGCTTTCCTCCCGCTGCTGGAGCCACAGTCCTTCAGTTCCCCCCCCCAGAGACAAGCACACAGACACAGAGCTATCTTCAAGCTAAAATTTATTCCTGCACAAGTCTCCCTTGTATGAGACACTTCCTGCCCATCTTGCTTACACAGTAAACAAGCCACCTGCCAAGCAGCTATGCTGCCCCAGTCCGGTACCTGCCGTGGGCAGCCCCTCCATCCTATCCTGCCCTCCCCTGAGCCCTGTCAGGATGTTCATGGTGCAAGAGCTCTGTCCATGCCCGCAGGGCCAGCGAGGGTGAAGCAGGATGTGTTGCTGGCTGCCTCACAGGCTTGAGCTGGGATTGTGCCGGCTTGGGCCCATCTCTCCTCCTGCTGCACCTCAGGCAAGGCAGGATAGGGAGGAGAATAAATTAGAGAAAAGGCTAAAAAGGCCACTGGCGTTTGCCAGCTGGAGGACAGAGCAGCAGGGCGGGTGGGGACACGCATCCCCAGGCACCCAGGGGGGCTTCTGATCACAGGGAGAAGAAAAGCCCCAATTGCAGATGGTCCTGGAAAGCCACTGTCCTCCCTTCCCTCTCCTCCACAGGACAGATGTTTTTGTGCAACTCCCATGGCCTCCCACTACCCTAAATGGTTTAAGGCACCGTCGTATGAGGAGGCAGGTAGAAACCTACCCGAAGCATCCCCCAGTGCAAGTCCCTGGAGTGCCAGGAAGCAGTGGGGTGCTCCAGGTTGAGCAAAGTCCACTATAAATACATATGAATTCCACAAAATGTTTTTCTCCCTCCCATCTATGAGTCTGGGCCTGAACTCAGGCTGCTTTGAGGAGTGTGCATGGGGCAGCTGGTGGGGTTGTGCTGCCTGAGACAGGACAGAGGCAACCCAAGGGCCAGGGTCCAGTGCCAGGAGGTTTGGAAGTAGTTCATGAATCCTCTGGGACAGCCAAGCAGAAGAGGAGTTCCAAGAGGCCAGGAGGGATATGAGAGGCTCTCCTGGGTCCCCAGCTCGGGGCGCTTCCCCAGGGGAGCAGAGGTGCTGACTGAGCCAATGGGGCAGGCAGCCCCATGCCAGCAGAGTCCCTTGCTCAGTATTTTTATTACACACCACCAAAAGGAAAAAAAAATGAAAAAAAAAAAAAAGGAGAAAAAAACTGAAACGTACCCCAAGGTATAAACCAAACACCAGTAACCAGGAGGTGCCTGATCTGCCTGGGCCCTGCCCTATGGCAGGCTGCCCTCCTCACTTCTTGCCTGGTTCCCTTGCCTGGGGGCTGCTCCTGGCTGCCTCCAGCCTCCTGCTGCAGCCACCTTGGGGTCTCTCCTCTTCAACTCCCTCTTTGCACCTGGAGGGGCTGGCTCCGAGGGGTGGCACAGGGAGGCAGGGCTGGCTACATGCGGGAGGACGGGCTGGCCAGCTCATAGAAGAGCAGGTAGGCATCGCTGCTGCGGACGTGGCTGGATGACATCGGGGTAACACTGCGGAGATGGGGAGATGAGTTGTGAGCAGTGGGGATAAGGCACCGGGATGCCCTGGGCAGGGGTCCCCACTCGCCCCAACCCTGCAGCCACCCCTGTCCCATGTGCAGCCTCACCGGGAGTCATTGAAACTGTGCCACTCGCTGGAGACAGGGCTCTTGCAGTAGGCAGTGTAGTGTCCCCCCATGGTGGTGCCCGAGTGGTTGGAGACGGCGTAGAGGTTGTAAACAGCATGGTCTGCAGGGAGCAAGGGTGGTGCTCAGCATGGAGCTGGAAAGGACCAACACCCTGGATACCTGTGGCTCCCACCCTGCCATGCCTCTGCCACCCACCACAGGCTGCCGCACCCTAGGAGGCATGAGGGACCCAGCCAGGAGCTGCTGGGAGCCCAGCGGGGCTGGAGCCACACAGGGCCTGCCACTCACTGCAGTTCTGCGAGGCAAACTCCCGGAGGTCCAGGTCCTTCAGCTGGAAGTTGACAAAAGTGGTGAGCTTGCTCGTTCGTATCCTGGCCTCCGAGAAGCGCTTGAGGTCTGAGGGGTCTTGTTAAGGAGCCAAGGGACAAAGGGGAGCCTGCAAGAAACAACCTGCCCCCACAACGGCACCCCCTGGCCCCATCCCTCTGCCTGAAGGATACGAAGCACCAGGATCTTGGGGAACTTCTGGATGCTGAATTTCTTTGTGCACCTCGTCCTGGCTTTGCAGCGACAACATGTCTATGGGAAACACAGCATGAGCAGGAGGGTGAGAGCAGAGGCCAGCCCCACCATCCACCAAGCCCACAGTCCTGACAACACAGACGTGGAAGGAAAGGGGCCCAGCCTGCACCAAGGCAAGCCCACCTATCCCCGTGCCCAACATCCCATACCGGTTTCTCATCCCCATCCAGCACATCCTCTTTGGTGAAGAGCCGTAGGCAGTCCATGAGAGTCACCTCTCCATAGCCTTTCTGTAGGAGCACAGCACAGGTCAGGGACAGAGTGTGCAGAGCAGGGGACCGGGGGTCAGTGCGAGCCCCTTACCTTGGGGATGGGCAGGGAGAGGTCCCAGAAGGGGTCGAATGCTGTGGAGCAGTAGCCACACTCACTGCAGGTCAGTGAACTCTTCAGCTGCCCAACGAAGAGGTCTAGTGGGGATGGGACAAAGGGTGAGACCCCTGGTTCCCAGCCCTGCCACCAGCTGAGCCCTGCCCTCCTCTCCCCACGGCCCTGCTCACCACTGATGCGGCTGTCCTCCCTCTCCTGGTACCTCCTCCACATCTGGCGGCTCTTCTCATCGTCACTGCAAGAGATGGGGAGACAGAGTGGTACTGAGTGTGGTCTGGGCGACACCAGCTCCTGCAACCCAGCCCAGAGGGTCACCGTGCCTGAGCCAGGCTTGCAGGCAATGACCTTGTCTGTGGGGTTTGTCCTCTGCCTCCAACCCAGCCAGCACTTACGGGAGGTGGTCCAGGGTGTCCGTGCTGGCCCGTGGCCGCACCAGCACACGGTTCACCTCGCTGTGCAGCCCGTCGAGGAGGAACCGCAGGAACTCCTGTGCATCCTGCTGGCTGCAAAGGACCAGTGAGGGGCAGCCAGGGCTCGGCTTCCCCCTGCCACCCCCGTACCAACACTCCTTACTTGTAGCCGACGAAGCGGGGGGCGTATCTCTGGATCTGCGTCTTGAATTCAGAGGGGCTCACGCTCTCGTTGGGGGACGAGGTCCAGAGCAGCTGGATCAGCTTTGCAAACTCTGTGGGCAGAGGGGCAGGTGAGCGGCACAGCTGCAGGGAAGCCCCGCAGGGTGCGGAGATGGGGGCCAGTGACTGACGGTTACCTGACATGAGCGCGGTGCGCATGCGGCTGTTGTTGTTGAGGTCCCGCAGGTACTGGTTCTGCAGGCAGTAATCCCGCAGCTCCTTGGTGTTGCTCAGACACTGCAGGATGGAGTTCATGAAGCACTGGGGGAGGCAGAAGAGAAAACCATGGCAACGGGAAGCAGAGGGAGGCAGGGGGGACACCTGGGTGGGTGGGCAGAGGATGGGGACAAAGCAGTGCAGAGCACAGGAACCCTTTCCTCTGCCAGCACCATTGGGAGCGGGATGTAGGAAGACACCGGGGCAAGAGTATGGGTGCTGGGGGTGAGGCAAAGGGATGGGGCTCCCCGCTGCCCCACAGACGTGCCCACAGAAGAGCATCGTGTGAGCTGGGGCTGCGCAGCCAGGTGCCTGGGCAAGCACTCACCGTATTGCCAAGGTTTCGCAGGCCTGTCAGTCCCTGCACTGTCTTGGAGCTCTGCAGAGAGAAAGAGCAGGACTGAGACGGTGCCCAGCACAGGATGGCTGTGCCTGTGGGCAGCCCAGTGAGGCCACGGTGCTACAGGCATCCAGGTGGAGCAGACCCTCACGTGCAAGCAGGCTGTCCATCCCCCTGTGGGCATCATGGGCAGAGCCAGCACCACAGCAGCTCTCTGCATTGGTTGCACACAGGACTGTGGCTGAGGATGCCCTGCCCCATCCTGCTTGCCTGGCTGCTGCTGCTTGGCTCCCTGGCCCGGGACAACGCACAGGGCTCAAAGTCCTCCCTGCCTGGTGGGACCGCTGCCCCATGCCCTGGGCTGCAGGCCAGGCCATTTGCCCCTGCTGCCTTCCCGTGCCAGCTCCAGGAAGCTGGAGGGTGGCAGGGCCCTATGCCTGCCCCGTGGCTGCAGGAGATGCCCCGGTGTCTGACTGCCACCTTCCTTATCTACGCTGGGTGTCACCTCCAGGGCACCCTGCACAAATGCAGCCCAGACTTCAGCATAGCTGTTTCGCAGGATAAAGTCCACCAAGGAAAGTGCAAGCCCAGCCCTGTGGCAGTCAGCCCAGGGGACAGGACTGTACACCCAGCAGTGCCCTCCCAACTGCTCGCTGACCTGCCTGTGCTGTGCCTTTGCCATGGGGCTCTTCCTGGTCCCCCGGTACCCCCTGAACTGGGCAGGCTCAGGCTGAGCAGAGACAGTCATGGGCAGCTGGGCCTGGGGGCCAGGAGACATCACTACTCTTTGCCGGAGAGACCGAGAGCGCAGAAGGATCTGGAAGGCCACAGGGTTGCCCACCCTTCTCCCAGCATGGGGGACCGGGTGCCGAGGATGCAGTGGGAACCTGGGGTCCCGAACCCATCTCTGCATGCGAGCCTGGTGCAGAAGGAAGTGGTGGGGCAAATCTCCCTGAAGCTGTGCCCAGAGCAGGGTGGGGTGGGCAATCAGGGTTTCCAGGGTCAGCCTGATGGCCATGCCCCTCCCACCTTGACCAGGTTTTAAGGATTCTCAGGTAAATGCCCCAGCTGCCTACCTCAGGCTTGAGGAGGGGGAGGAGAAGAGGAGGGGGCCCAGCAGCTCCAAAATAGCAGCAGCTGGTGTGTGTGTGGGAGGGGCTGAGCACCCAGCCCTGACAGCAGCCCAAAATAACCCAGATCCAGTTACACGTGCTCCTTAGCGACGGCGCAGGCATCACCCACCACAGGGGGGACCGGCTCCAATGGGGACTCGGCCACCCTATGTGGGTGCACACAGCTCTGCGGGACTGACCATGTACCCCGCTGCGGGTGAGTGTCCCCACAGTGCCCAGCACTGTGCAAAAGTGCCAGTAACCCCACTGCTTATTCCTGGGTGAGGACCCCCAGGCAAGGGGGTGCCAGCAGGCTGTGGCAGGTCAGTGCCACACTGTGGCTGGAGAAGCTGGCCAGGCTCTGGTCACTGCGCAGATGGGGCCGAACAGGCAGCAGGAGATGTGGGTCTGTGTGGCCCCTTGAAGGGGCTGACCCCCCAGATCCTTGCTGCTTGTGCCCCCATGTCTATTGCAGGGAAGGTCACGGTGCTAGGGGGAGCGCTGCCCCAACTTGCCCTGGCCATCCCCACCAGGACACTGCTCATCCAGCTGCCCTGGTTGGGCAGCTCCCACCATGTGCCAGGAGGGACCAGGTGTCCCAACAATGCGGAGGTAAACCTCCCCACCGTCCTGGCATTCACCCACTGCCAGGCCAGGCCAGAACCTGGGCTACCCTCCTAGAGGCTGAAGCAACGCCAGGGGAGGGCCGGGTGGGTGGCAGATGCCCCCCATACCATGCCACCAGCCTTTGTACACTGAGGTCTTATTCCACCCCCCCTCGTTTTTCCCTCCCCTGGGTGACTCAACTCCAGCTAATCCCCCTCGCCCGTCCAGGGCTTTATCTAGGACACGGCGCTGCTCAGAGGAGGCGAAGGAGAGCTGGCTCACGCGGCGGCGGCTGGGGAGTCCCCGAGGCTGCACTGCAGGAGATGGATGGGGGAGAGGGGACGGGGACAAGGGATAAGACCCAGACTGTCCTGCCCCATCCAGGTCCGCATGCCAAGCGCCTGTTGGGGCAGCAGGAGAGCCGGAGCAGCCAGACTTACATAAGTGCACAGACCCTGCCCTCTGCCTCTGCCATTCCCACAGGGGGAGTTCTGCCTGGCCCTGTGGCTCCAGGGGCAGCCAAGCTCGGTCCGGTGACACTGCCAAGGGGCCAGGATGGCCGGCAGCCCCTATCTTGCGTTGGGTAGGCTGGGACACGGGCGCTTGGCCAAGGTCACCGCAGAGGCAGGGCTGGGAGAGGGACCCAGGTGTCCTGACACGTGCTTTCACCTGCTCCCTGCCCCTCCCGCACAACACCAGGGCACCTCAGCCC